CTGTACATCATATTGGTTTGACTAAACTATCAGATAACTTGACTTTGCAGCGATTTCTTCACGTCCCAGCCTTCCAGTGCAATTTACTCTCTATTAGTCGGCTCACTGCTGATCTTCCAGTAGCATTGATTTTCATGGGTGATTTCTGTGTTATTCAGGACTTACCCTCCAAGAAACTGATTGGGATGGGTAAGCATGTCGACGGGCTGTATTATCTCCAGTTGTTTGATGGCAGACACCCGGTGGCGCATTCGGCTCGTCAAGCAGTGGACAGTTTAGCTCTTTGGCACGCCCGTCTGGGGGCATCTTTCCATGGGAAAACTCACTCATTTGCAGCACTTGATCTCAAGTCCTCTGGTGCAGCCACAGGAACCGTGTCACTCTTGTTTCCGAGCTAAGCAGGCTCGTGACTCTTTTCAGTCTAGTTCCATTAAAACTCAATCCTGTTTTGAATTTATTCACTTGGATATCTGGGGTGGCTATCATGTTCCTTCTCATACTGGTGGTCGTTATTTATTGACAATTGTTGATGACTATAGTAGAGCAATTTGAGTTTTTCTATTGAAATTCAAGTCTGAGGTCTAGCGGTATCTGTTTATTTTTGTCGCATGGTTGTTAACTAGTTTAGCAAGCAGGTCCGACGCATTCAGGCCGACAATGGCCCTGAATTTGCTACTTTTGTCTTGAAGGATTACTATGAGAGGACTGGGATTATTCTGCAGACCTTTTGTACCAACACTCCTTAGCAAAATAGGGTGGTCGAACGCAAGCACAGGCACCTTTTGGAAACGGCTCGAGCCCTGCGTTTCCATGCTAATTTACCCATTCAGTTTTGGGGTGAATGTGTGCTTAGACAAGTTCAGTGATCGCGGTAAGGCTGGGGTATTTGTTGGTTATCCGTCCGGTCAGCAAGGCTATTGTATCTATGACTTGGACAACAAGAAGATTTATACATCCCGCGATGTGAAGCTCTTGGAGTAAGTTTTCCCCTATCGCACTTCTCCACATCCTTCCTCGTCAACTGTTGGAGACAAACCCCCATCTCCTCCTCTCACGTCGACTAGTTCACCTATGTGGGACGATGATGATGATGCTGGGACCTCTCGATCCCCAGCCAACTTCTCGTCGCACTTCCACTCCCAGCACTCCTGCCTCTAGATAATTTGCTCCCCCGAGGGAGTCCTCACCCACTCGTACTTTTGGTCAGGCCTCTCAAGACTTGGGCGAGAAGGAACAGATCAGCCTTCTCCTTCCTCAGCCGAGTCTTCCACTTCATCATCACTCATGCAGCCCTCAGCTTCTACTCCTGCCTCGTCATCGCCTCCCACTAGCCTCTTCGATCGGCGTGGCGACCGACCGCATTAGGCAACCCTCCACTCGCCTGGCCAGTTTCGATGTTGTTCTGCTCGGTGATGGGAACGTATCTCATGTTCCAAGGGTTTGTTTCCTACTAGGCGCAGAAAGAAGCCTTTAGGGTTTGTGTTTGGGTAATTGATGCCTCCTCCATTCCATTCCTCCTCATATAAATAGTGTTTGCGTACAAACTAATACAAACCAGTAATAATTAACGTAACTAATAATAATCGACATAACGACTACTGGGCTTGGGCTGCCTCGCAGACGTCCTTCTCTGCATAGGCTGCGCGGGTTGTGGCCTGGACGTGGTCATGGTTCCATCATTGCTCCCCTCCGGAAGAACGACCTTGCCCTCAAGGTCGAAATTGGGAAAGCGCTCCTCGAGTCTCGTCCGCAGCTCCCACGTCGCATCATCCTGCGGTAATGCTTCCCAACGGACTAAACACTCTTCCATGAACGTTCCACCTTGGCGCACCCAACGATGGTCAAGCACCTCCGTCGGTTGAACTCGCAGCTCCCCATCGTCATTCACGGGCAAGGGCGTGGCCTCGGCCGTAGGTGGAGGGCCCCTATATGGTAAGATCAATCTATAAGCCACCGTCCCCACACTCGCCTCCACTAGATAAGGACCAAAGTAACGAGCTGCCAATTTCTGAGAGGCACGACGGTACAAAGATTGTTGCCGGTATGGATGCAATCGTAAGAGAACCAGATCGCCTACCTCAAACTGAAGGTCCCGCCGTTTGTTGTCCGCCAGCTGCTTATTATGGGCATTAGCCGCCTCCAACGTAGCCTTAAGCTGCTGCAAAATGTCATCAAGAGTGAGCAAAAGCTTGTCGACAACCTAACTCCACTCTCGCCTTTAGCATAAGGAATGATGCTAGGGGGTTCTCGGCCATACAAAGCCTTGAACGGTGACATGCCAATCGATCGGTGGAATGACGTATTATACCAAAGTTTGGCCCATGGAAGGAACTTGTGCCAACGGCGAGGCTGGGAGTGAGCAAAACATCGTAAATATTGTTCCAAGCATCGGTTGACTACCTCGGTCTGGCCATCTGACTGGGGATGGTAGGCGGTGCTCATGTGAATGCGAGTGCCGGTGCGAGAAAAGAATTCCTTCCAGAAAGTACTAAGGAATAGGGCATCTCGATCAGAGACAATCGAGGCGGGCATGCCATGATGGCGAACCACGCCATTAATAAACTCCTCCACTACCCAACGAGCCGAAAATAGGTGACTGAGAGACATGAAATGGCCGTACTTTGTCAGTCGGTCTACCACAATGAAAAAAACTGAGTGACCCCCAAATACCGGCAATCTTCAACAAATTCCATGGAAATATCTTCCCAAACCCGGCAGGGAATGGGCAATGGTTGCAACAGCCCCGCAGGCGACAGAGAATCTGTCTTAACACGCTGGCACGTGTCACAGCTGGCGACATAATCCTGTATCGCCTGCCTCATCTGCGGCCAATAGAAATGCCTGGAGAGCCGAGCCACGGTGCGGGGAACACCGGAATGGCCTCCCATCGGTCAACTGCCGTTTGAGGGCCCGAATCTCTTGGGTCATGTCAAGGCACGCCGTAGTCGTTCTCTTTGCCGCCGCCGTATACGCTTTGGCGCAAGATCCCACGTCCACGATCATGGCTCTGATATCAATTTGATGGGAACGTAACCCAAGTTCCAAGGGTTTGTTTCCTGCTAGGCACAGAAAGAAGCCTTTAGGGTTTGTGTTTGGGTAATTGATGCCTCCTCCATTCCATTCCTCCTCATATAAAAAGTGTTTGCGTACAAACTAATACGAATCAATAATAATTAACATAACTAATAATAATTAATAATAATCGACTTAACGACTATTGGACTTGGGCTGCCTCGCGGACGTCCTTCACTGCATAGGCTGCGCGGGTTGTGGCCTGGACGTGATCATGGTTCCATCACCCGTTCATGCAATCTGATTACAGCTTCGGCAAGTCCATAACCATATTACTGGAATTACTGTTTTATAGAAGTAAAGTGAAGTATACATTGTGGTTACGGGGTAACATGGTCATTATAGTGTGTGCTAATGATGTGATTCTGAAATCCTTGATCAAGTTGGATGGGGTTAGTTCACCTTCATCCAAAAAAGAAAAGGTTGGAGGGGGGTCTTCACAAAAGCTGTGGACACTTCAGAAACTTTGCTCATTATGATTCAAGAGAGTGTTTTTGTCACTAAACCTGCTTTGTCTTTTCTCTTCTCGCTATCACGTGCTCCTGGGAAGATTCCAGTCATTCAAGTGTGTGGATATGGGATAAGAGTTCCTGATGATTCATTTGCCTAGCTTTATCATACTTCCAGGCAAGGAGAGGAAAGTAGTTTTATGTAGGGCTAATACCATTGGAAACCCGAACTATTAACTTTGTGTTATTTGTGTCCTAAAGTATTCGATATGACATTTGTGTCCCAACCTATTATAGTTTTGTGTCATTTATGTCCTGACGATTTTGTTGACCGTTATATATAACGGTTGACCAGACGGTGGTCAACTTGATGTTGACTTTTGCTGACGTGGCAAACACGTGGCAGCCACGTAGATGCCACATCATTGACACCTCATATTTTTAATTAAAATTTAAATAAAAATAAAATGGAGAAATTAAAAAATGAAAAATGAAAAATGAAAAACCTTCTCACTATCATCTCTACCGATTAGCCTTATCCCCAATCCGCTTTTCCCCCATTTTCTTGCAGCAGCAATGGATGTAGGGGTCGTTTGGAAGTTGCGATTGTTAGCATTGTATTTGTTAAATACATGCATTATCCACAATACAAAGTTGAGAAGTGTCAAGTTGCAAAACAATGCATGTATTGTTTTGTGTGGGTCCCACCAACAATCAACAAAAATGAGGGATTGTACAATCTCAACTAAAAGTTGTGATTGTTGTGATTGTTGGTTTAATAATTGAGCACATTTACTTTTTCCAATTATGTCCATAGTTCCTTTTGTTTTATTAGGGTAAATACAATTTAATATCCAAACCTTTCATTTTAAACAATATAATAGCCAAACCTTTTTGAAAACAATCTAATATCCAAATCATCAACTTTCCGTTCGTTTGACCGTTAGTTGACACTTCAAAAAAGTTTTGTTTAGGGGAAATTATCACAATACAACTTTGTTTCTTGTTTTGGCATTGCAGATGACTGAATATTTAGATATTCTATACCATCATGGTGGAGTCATGGACTTCTCGGGTTTGGAACTACGATATGTTGGTGGTTTTTCAGAGAAGATATCGATGGATATTGATGAAGTGTCGTACTTCGAACTTTTTTGAAGTGTCAACTAACGGTCAACCAGACAGAAAGTTGACGATTTGGATATTAGATTGTTTTCGAAAAGGTTTGGCTATTATATTGTTTAAAATAAAAAGTTTGGATATTAAATTGTATTTACCCTTGTTTTATATTAAAAGTGGAGGACAAATATGACATTTCCTTATAAAGTAACTTTATAACAATCAATTCATAAATTATAATCTCAACAACCAAACAATGTAATTTCAAAATGCATCTATTGTATCAATGCATGCATTTATATCATAGTGATTCATAACAATACAACGATTTAAGATACGCAACTTCCAAACGACCCCGTAATGTTTGCTCATCAGCAGTCGAGCTTGAATCCGGACGCCCCGATGTTCGCCCCCATGGCTTACCAGGCGGTGGAGGACTTCTCCGATCACTGGTGGTCGCTCATCCAACCCTCCACCTGGTTCCGCGACTACTGGCTCCAGGAGCGCTACCAGGATCCCCAATTGACTTCTTCCTCCCCCACGACCTCGATTTCCTCGACGACGGCGCCGATTTCCTCCGCTTCTCCGGCGGCAAATGTACTATTACTACTACTACTACAACCTAGGTTAAGCTCGCTGAGTCACGAGTTGTGCTTCAATTCGACTCACTCTGGGTTGGGTTCTTTTTTTGTTTTGGTGCAGATGAGGAGAAGGAGGAGGAATTGGGGATGAAATGGGACATGGTGTCGGTGGGATCGACGAAATGGAGGAAGAATGATCTGAATCGGTCGCCGAGGTATGCAGAGAAGGCGGCGAAGATTGTGAATGTGAAGATGAGTCCGAGGACGATTCAGCAGCCGAGGTAGATTTGTTGGTAATGAGTCAGGAAGTGAATGGAGAGTTTGGGGTAAAACCCAGCTTCCAATTTAACTTAACCAGAGAGGAAACAAAATCCCTAGTAAGCGGCGGACGGCTGTAGAGGGGATAGGAGGAGAAGGAAGAGGAAAACGAGCGACGACGAAGCCCACCACCGTCTCCGTCTCCAACTCTCGAAGCCCACCACCGCCGTCATCAGAGTCCGCGGCCCAGACCAGAGTGGCCGCCATCTCCGCCAGTGAAGGGTAAATCCCCAAATCGATTTACAATTGACGGTAGAGGTTGGGAGACGGGAGAGGGAAGGGTAAATCCCCAAATCAATTAGTTTATGTTTATGTTTTTTATTTTTGTAATTTTTTATTTTCTTTTCTTATATGAAAAATAATTATAAATTAGTATTATAAATTCCACTTCAGATTCCACCTCAGCGCTGACTAAACTTTCTGTTAAAAATTAGCGGTCAACATTGGTCAACTCTAACGGAAAATAGTTTGGGACACAATTGTCATATCGAATACTTTAGAACACAAATGACACAAAGTTAATAGTTCGGGTTTTCCAATGGTATTAGCCCTTTTATGTATAACAATGTTCACTGTAGCCTATTGGTGTAAATTGAAATACTTGGTTCAAATGTCATGAAGAGCATATATTTTTGGTAACATGTGAAAATACAGAAATTCTATTTCTTATCTAATCGGAACTTAGTTCAAATGTCATGAAAATTGTTTATTTTTTATGACATGTGTGAAAATACAACAATCCTATTTTTTATCTAATAAGCAAGTACTCTCTGTTTTGGTCGAATACTCGAATTTGACCAAGCTTTAATACCCCCAATTTGATGACCGGCACCGGTTGAGCTGGCCTGTAGAGAGCTGGCGTGACAACCATGTGTAAGAGAGAATGTAATGATTTCATACAACTCCAATGAATACAAAGCATGGTTGTCAAGCTGGCCAGAATGTCACCGGTTGAACCTGGTTCAACTGGTGCCGGCCATGAAATCGACATGACACAATCAGTATGACCGGCATGATCGATATATAAATGTCTAAATAAAATGACCTTATTTTAGTACATTTAAATATGAGTACATGTAATTTTATTTGAAATATCACATTTTATTTAAATATCAATATGAATTGTACGTAAATTGTCTTCAAATATGGTTTATATATGATTAGATTCATTTGACAGTAATGGTTTTTTACAATTCTACATATTTAATTAACCGGTATGAACCGGCACAAAGCGGTTGTAACACTGATAGAACCATTCCACTTGGTAAATCGGCACAACGATATAAACCGGTTTGAGTTTGACAACCTTAATACAAAGGCTCTTCTACATTTCCTATGTTTTTGCACAATTTTGAATGGCCAAAAAAGGAAACCTCGGCGAGCAGTTTGTGTCATTGCTACGACACGTTTAGAGAAGTGAGAAACCATGTTATGAAAAGAAAGGAGCAACAGAAGCTAAAGTAGGGATATCTCAGATATGCTGTCTCCTAAACCTTATCTAGAATCAAAAGGAAACAAATTTATTTACAGAAATGAAGGGAAAAAGCTAAAAGCCTCTACTTTTAGATGCATCTCTTGACCATTGCTGCCCGCCATAAAGCTGTCCTCCATTAGATTGTTGCTGCTGCTGATACACACCATGAGGCCCCAAATCTGGGACAGCCAACCCACCACCCGGTTGTTGCTGGGGCCAGTGGCGGAGGCAGGATTTGAAACTACCCCTGTCCTCTTTTTAAAATATAAAAATATAATTAATAATTAATATAAATAAAGAATTAATCGACTAATACAATTGATGTTTGCATAAACAACTATGACGAATTTTCATTAGCAAACTGATCACAAATTCGACTTCGAAACTTAATATTAGTATAGTTCAAGCTAAAAATGTTATTTCTACACTTACAGTTGCAACAGGTAGAATCAAAACTAGTTTCAGAAGCAAATAAACTGACGGATATGAATTACGTACTTTTGTCTCCATCATTATTTGAGATAATTCATCAATTTCTTTCAATTAATGAAATCTCATAACATCATGATAATACCCAACAAGCTATTATCAAATAATTATTATGAATGGAAGAAATAAATTAATATTATGTAAATATTGATATATGGATGACCAATGACCTACCACATTAGATGCTCACTTGGGAGTTACATGTAACCCCTATTTCTACATTATTATCTCTCATTCATATGCATTGATATAAGGATGTAGTGGTTACCAAAGTGAGCCTATAAATATAGCACACCATTGTATCAAAAGTGTAGAATGAATAAGAAGAACTCTTCCCCTATCTTCTCTTGTGTCTTTCCCTCTCTAATCTTCTCTTGTAGTTGTTTATATTTTCATTAGTTTCATAACACGTTATCAGCACGAAGCTCTGCTAGCATCATGGTTGGTCATTGTCTCTCTACACAATTTATTATATTGGAGTAAAATCACAATATGATGAAGGTATGCAAATCTTCGTCTTCTTTCATATCTTATTGTCTTATTTGTGGTGAGATTATCTCATTCCAATACATTAAGATGGATGCTACTCTTTTCTCATAGTAAACCATCCATTGATATTTTATCACGTACATCTATTTGGATTAAAATTTTGGGTTGTGTAATTTGATTTATATTATTATGTGTTTTACAATACATACATCGATTCCTTAAAATTAAATTGGTGTTTTGACATTATCGCAAATTAAAATTTGCTCATGTAGTAACAATAACAAGAAAAGTAATATAAGTGATGAGTTAATTTTTCAATTCTCCGTGTTATCCTGTTCTTATCAATCCCATATTGATATGTAGAAAATGCAAGTTCCAAGAGCCCATATATTCCCCAGAAGTGGAAATTGAAGAATTCAAGGGCAAAGAAATAAAATTACATGGTAATAAGAATATTGGTTCTGTATGTTACCATTGTAATGGAAAAGTGTGTTTGTCTCGTACCCGTTGTACTAAAAAAAAACTTTATTCTACCAAGAATCAAAGGGAAGAGTAAATTCAAATATGCTGATGCAATATCAATATTATTGAGCATATTTTTGTATTATAAGTTGGTATATTCTCCATTAAAGATGAAAATGATATTGCACTTGAGACATTTTCATTCCCAGAAGTGAATGAAACAATCTATTCCCTTAAGTGGATGAAACTATAACATAATTATATATATATGGTATATGTATTGTTTGGATCTTTTCACCAGAAGTGAGAAAAGAGGAGTAAAAGGAGAACTATAAATAAGGATGACACCACAATTGCATTATCAAAGTCATGATAACATAATGTACCTGTTGTACATTATAATTATAATGTATAATGAAATGCATATATAAATTTAAAATCACCTAGTTAGTGATGGTATTGTTCCAAATAAATCTTATTTATTTTTCACAATTGTAGTATTATGATTCTTATTTTTTTTTATATTTTTATGTGACGTTATTTTTTCATACATAATTTAATTTGATAAGCTTTATCTAGAACAATTAACTTGATAAATTCATCATTTTTGTCTTAAGTTTGAAATATTCTCATTTATTACTTTTATTATGTTTTTATAAAGTATGAGTACTAGAAAAATTCCATATAAACTATATGGTAGAGTACATAAATAAGAAAAAGCTTCCGAAAGCTTATGTTTGGTTACTTGAAGTAACTAAATTATGTACTCATGATAACAATTTGTGATGATATTCACTAGGAATTTGTGTTTACTAAGAATGCATCAAATCAAAAGTCCCCGGAAGGGTGGAATATGGTACAAAATATGGTAAAGCTTTAAAGGAGCTAATTTTGTGGCCTGAAGGAACCAAACTACCTAGTGATGATGCATTACCCAATTAAAAGGGTATTAATAAAATGAATATCTTATCAAGAAAATAGTGAAACTAATATTTGCATCACAAATATGTACTACATGTATATTAGTACAATCCGTACACATAAAAGTGTAAACCAGAAGTTTACAAGATTTGATAACTTGATAATTGGTTGATCCGGTTAGACCATCCCGGATCTTGATGCGAAAAAAAGTTCTTTGAGAATTCATGAGAACATCATATGAGAATTCAAAGAACTCTTCAACCAAAAGAGTTATTATGTCATGTTTGTTCTCAAGGAGAATATAACAATTGATCATCGCTTGTATAAGAGTTGGCAAATCTCTTGAGATTTTATGGACGTGTATGCAGAACAATACATCAGTCATTTGGATCATTTGTGAATTTTATGGGTTCTTGCATCAAATGGATGATCACATGTATTTTATATAATCGCAACCCGATGTTTGCGAGATTGGTTGCCTCACTATGGATACATTTTGATGGTTATCCAATCAAATATCACTTTGCTTAATAGAACAAGCTGAGCCTTCCAGTCTCTTGTTGAGGACATGCTAGCTGGCAAGTGATAGTATTGGTTCGCATCTAACCAACAAGTTATCATAAGTTTCCCCCTTTTTACAAATGATTTTGGTAAAAAACCTAATATTTCTCATATGAGAATATCAGGGTGTGCCGCATACATCCCAATTGCTCCACCACAGTATCTTAAGTTGATTCTCGTTGGAAATTGAGAAATTGTGTTGGGTATGAATCCCAAATGGGAAATTTGTTTGCGAAATTATTGTTTTGATGAATCACTTTTTCAACATTAAGGGGGAGAGAAAAAAAACAGCTAGACAAAGAGATGAGTTGGAATGAGTTATCGTTATCTAGTTTTGATCCTCAAAGTAAGAAACATGAACCTGAAGTTCATAAGATGAATTATCGTTACCAACTATCAATTGCCTCTACTGGCCATACGAAGTGACCAAGTCACATATACTAGCTGTAAATGCTCCAACTAAATTTGATATCCTTGTTAGATACTCTAATATAAAAAAATGTGTCTAAAAGAGCGCATGAAGCGTGATAGACCAATCGGTTCCAACGATAAACATCCTCGAGAAAAAAAAAGGAGTTGTGATTAGAATGGTCAACTCGAGGACATGAAAACT